TGGAAAGCAATAATGTAAATAGTCACACATTTAAATAACATTCATATTTGCACACATGCAAACACTGTTATGATTGCAGTAAAAGAGATTTTTTGAGATTTCCAATACATGCAAACACTGTTATGACTGCAGTAAGTAAAAGAGATTTTTTGAGATTTCCAAAATATATATACACAATTTCTTTCATTTAGCACTCAGTTTCTTCATGTTCAAAAGAGAAATACCACCAAAAACATTGTTTCAGATAGTACATTATTATTGCCTTGTAGAAAAGGTGGTTTTTTAACTTCAGCTTATGTAAAAATAAACAAGCCCTCTACTTACAGCAGTCATAACGTTAAGCATTTACTAATTCAGGTTTTGCTGATGACTGATAATTACTGGCTTCACAGTTTCTCCATACTTAGCTACTTAATTAAATTTCACAATGTGATAGGAAGAATCTTTCCTTAGAAGAAAAGATGTACTCGAGCATCTCCTTTAAAATCTATTCAAGAAAGACTCCAACATTTGTCTTGCCAAATTCTTCAAGAATAAAATTAAGTCTCGGTAGTAGTCTAAGAGCTCAAGTAAATTGATGTCTAAGTTAAAGGGCCTTTACTGAGACACTTTCTTCAGTTAAAGAAAGGCAGCAGAAGTAAGAATGCACATATATTTTTCCAATCTAGTTAACTATGGACCTACTTCAGCAATTTCACTATGCACTGCCATAGAATTTGTAATGGTCTTCTCTCAAAATAATGTTTTAGCACCTTTCTAGAATTCTTCATTCTTCTGCTACTTTGTATTTATTTTTCACTTCCGTTCATTTCCACTCATTTGTACATTCTAACTAGACTGCACAAGATTCAGGAAAGGATTTGTTTCTTTGCCATTTGCCTTCCTTAAATTTAAAGCTGGTTGGGGAAGGGGAGAAGCGGGAAAACAACCTTCAGCAAGAAGCACAAGATCAAAATCTGTGTTCCATGCCATCAAATGCAGAAATGCAAAATTTAAATGCTGTCTGTATTCAGAAGCAATTTAACTGGCAGCTTTTGGCATTTCTGATTACTCTTACTGTTATCACAATTGTATTTATTGTTGAAAAGAGAATACAAGCAACAAGCAAGCCAGAAAAACGACATGACATTCCAATGTCCATCATGTCCTAAAAACAATTATTCATGTTCTACTGCTGTGAAGAAACCTCTTAAATTTACTCCATCAGCTATCTGAATAGTTCACACTATAAATTATGCCAAATAAAACAATTCAGTTTTGTTTAACACAAGGCTAGGTGCTTTATAGCTTAGGGTTATAAAATAATTCACAAGTGATGAGGCTGTGATTCTCACTTGGATCTGACTTTCTTCAGAAAGTCAGAAATCTCTTAGAACTATGAATACGTTGTTTAGCCTCTCCAAAGACAGCAGACATTTGCCAAGACTTCATCTAGGACCAATAAAAGTGAAAAGATCCAAGACCTCTTTTGACACGACTCGCAAATGCAATAGTTCTCAAAGGCTATCCTGAGAAACGCAAAGTTTAGAATAGCAAGAAAAAGTGTTTCAGCCACTATTCAGCCTGCTATTTTAAAGGGTTTTTTTTTCTCCATTTTAACAAATGTTATATATTCACATAATTCTTCTCCTATCTTACAGAGACAGAAAATTCAAGAGGACAGTAAAAGATACCAAGTAACAGGCAATCCATGAACTGCATAATCTCTCTAAGGAAAATTTTCACAAAAAGTAAGTCTATAAGTCTTTCTTGGCAGGAAGAATAAATAACTCAGTCTGTTTTGAGGGATTAGGGAATTATTGCAGTGTAGGAGTTACACAGTACTGACCACCTCAACGGTCATTGAAACATTTAGAATAAGTTAACATTTACTAAATAGGATTCTTACTGCTGTTTGTCTGTTGCTTGGAGAATGCTAAATAGCAGCTTTTTCAGCCAAGGAACAAACTGCATTATACTTGCCCTAATAAACTAGAGAGGGTCTCATTCACACCCTCATACTGGAAACAGGCTCATTTAGGAAGTAATATCTGAAGTCATGTTTCAGGTGTTGCCATTTCCTTTAATTAGAAGCTGAGAATTCTTTTCTATCTGTTGCCTTTCCTGTGAATCCAAAGAAACCTGTTTGCTTACATGTGAAATAGAAGCACACCCCAGTTAGCACCCTAAATAAATCAACAGCCAGTGTAACCAAAGAGTTAGATGAAGCCATATTTCATAAAATACAACCATGCTGCAAAATTCTGGGTTGTTAAGCAACATAGGCAAATCAAATGGCTTATAAAGAACTTCAGAACCTGAATACTCCTAAGATATCTGTCAGTATCTAACACACTTCTCTGCAAGATATCCTCAGTTTCAAAGAGAAAGGACACTGCCTAATACCCTCCTGGATTCAGATTTACTGAATTTCTAATACTGAACTTCAAAGTTCAATTCTTGAAAAAATCTTGGTTAAAGGTCTCCTGCCACTGAGATCTTAACCAGAAGATTTCCTAAACAGGTGACATTTACAGCTTCAAAATGAAAAAGGATGGACTTAGGCCAAGAGGAAATTTTTGCATATGTATATTGTAAAAATGATGGAGGAGAAAGAGGAAATCCACAAACCAAATCCTGCCTACAAAAGAAAGACTATGCATACAGACTTGCACATTCTGTCACAGCTGTAAAAAGATACTAATACATACTCATAATTTTGACGGACCAAATTCTGTTCTATGGTACATGCCAACTATTTAAATACCAAGGCTTTCAAAGGCATGCTCATAATATACTCTGAAAAACCAGGGTTCAGAGCATCTAACTTGTCAGTTATTTATACGAAATTTCCATGATTCATTCATTCACCAACAAGAAATGCAAAAGGAAGGAACTAAAACATTTTGTATCTCCACCCAAAGGCCCCATTATCTATTTCTTCCAAATAGAAAAAACAGACATGCCCTGACATATGTATCAGGCAGGCAACCATAAAACTGTAGCTAATTCTAATTACAGATTTTACTGTTAAAGTAACTGAACAGCATAGAACCTATTTTTTTAATCATACACTTCACAAAAAGAAGATGAAAATTCAAATAGTTTCAATGGAAAAGTAACTGCATATAGCACAAAAACATACGTACTTATACTCGCTTTTAAATTACTTGAACAGGATTCATTCGGTGCTAAGGAAATTTACAGAGATACATTTAAGGAATTAAATGTTTTAAAATTCTACTTCTAAAGGTTTAGTAATCATGTCTGAAAAATCAAGGATGCTGGGTGTGATCCTGCACGTCTGCAGAAGCAAATGCAATAGTCAAAAAAATATTTTAAAAATATAGCTAGTTGATCCAAATCAGTCAAAAGAAAAACAGTGGTACGAATTAGTAAAGAATAAACCGCAAAGTGTTTAGAAAGTAGGACAGCAATTAAGAAACAAAAATAAAACCCATATTAATTTGACAAGTACAAAACATAGCAAAATAGCTGATTTTCCTTTTTACTGAGATTTTTCATTGTGACTGAGATGGTGTCTAGAATCAAAGAAATACCTGTTCCTATGCTTTGACTCAACTAAATCTTTTAACACCATTGCCAATGAGAGTTTCGCAAGCTTTGAAAAATGTGGCCTAAACTCAGTTATTAAAGAAGAACACATCACTTCTGGAAGAACACCCTATACCTCGTAAGCCGTACTCATGTAATCTTCAAAATTTTCTTCAACAAATTGGGGCAATATCTGCAGCATGTGTTGGGGGCCTGAGCGCCCCAGCGGACGCTGCAGCATCCTCCCCTCCACCTCTTGCTTTGGGGCAGCTCTGACTCAAACCGTGAGCAGCCTCGCTGGGGCCCTGGGCCTCAGGAGCCCCGGCCTGACCCTGAGCCTCGCTCATCCCAACCCTGACCCACTCACTCGCCCTCGAGCGCTATGTAAGCAGAGGGTGAAAGGACTGAGGAGGAAAAGACCTAAATTAAAAGGTTTCTGATGGATTGAAGGGATGTCCAAAATCAATATGGCGCAATCAATTCAAACTCAATAAACAGGAAGATAAGTGAACAAACAACTAAATGGTTATTCTGTATCTGCTTAGGGTGACTTAAAGCACCCTCAGGTGATGAGAACGTAGTAAGAAAGGAGGATGATGGATGAGCTGATAAGAAGAGGTGATAAGAAACAAGTATATGATGAGAAGCTGATTATCAAAATAATCCAATTTCTTTTTTCATCTTTCAATATTCTTCCCAGAAGTGGCCTAGTTTTAAACTTGGTCTTATTCATTTTAAGATGTTAAATTAGTGACAAATTGGAGTAGCAAAAAAAGGTGTCAGACTTAGGAAAAAAAACAATTTTCATTAGAGTGATTGCTAGGGTAATACATTAACAGGACTCCTTATCTAGGGCCATCCATCACTAGATATTTCAAACAAGCGCTTGGATACATGTTAATCAAGGGCATTCAGAATTATTGACCAAAGATTTTAATTGTAATGATGTAATTAGAAGAATCTGAAATCTTAAAAGCCTGGTAATTGAGAATGTTGATTGCATAATATAAAATAGAAATGACCTACCCTTTTAATATTTATGTGGGCTGCACATACCAAACATACTAATGTCCATGAACATAAAAAAAAAGTCCTGGATTACTGGAAAACTAATAAGGATAAAGGAAGCTGTTTATGAACTCTGAATATAATAAATGCGTGTTTTGCTTCAGAGGAATAAATATACCTTTCAAACTATGTCACACACATCTGTCAGGATTTTGTCTTTTTATTTACATAGCAATGTAAAAAGGACATTTAAAGGCATTCATATTTTTCATAGATATATGCCCACAGAATACCTGGGTAGTAGATTAGTATATTAATAAATAAATAAATAAATAAATAAATGGATCAAATACCTCAGTGGTACAAATGTATTCAAATTCATTGGAGAAAAAAAGAAGAGATTTTATTTCATTAAATAATGAGCTTGTTACATGCGTTGCAAGAAATGTTTAACTCACCTGATTGCCAACCAGAAGAAGATGTTCTCCAAGCAGGAAGTCTTTAAGCATATCCTCCATTACCATCATGTGCTAGAGAAAAAAAGGACACAACTTACACTCCTGTTTTTGTACTCTCAAGTTTACACATTCAGTACTGAAAGTAGTATGGACGAATATTACTTTCAGGACTTTTGGTTGAAATATTTTTAGCATTATACTTATGGTTATTATTTTACAGAAAGACTCTCTCAGCCAATAATAGCAAACCATGCAGTGACTGAAACAATGAAACACAAATACTAAAATCTACTTATGCATTTCATCTGCTCCAGTTATTTTGCAGCAGGGTCTGATGTCTCTAGATAGTTTTAATTCTCAGCAACGATGAATAATGTATTTCCTTTTAGCCTAGCTGGATGTTTGTCACTCACTATGTAAGAGCCATCATTTATGTGCGCATGATTATTTTCCAGCTGTGAAGAAGGTCCAGAATACCAGACTGACTAATCTTCAGCTGTTTTGGAGAGATGAAAATCTTACAGTTACATTATCACCTCCGGCATAGTTTACTACACTCTTAATTATACTGATAATTGTCTGGAGATTGTGGGTAAGTTTCTGGGCTCACAACATTAGGCACTAAATGAGCAGGCAGTAAGAGATAGTAATACAATTTAATTATGCAAAACAAGGGAGAAAAGCAATATTGCCATGCAGGATATAAGAAAAAGAGATGGGAAGATTCAAAAAATCTTCTTGACAGCAAGGAAAAAAATGAGAAAAAAATCTTCTTGACAGCAAGAAAAAAAAATGAGGTTTGGTCAGGCCTCAAATCCCATTCTGATTCTTCTAGTATTATTGTCATTCCATTTTCCATTTATGATATAGGGTTACATTTAAACTAAACAGAGAATAATGAAGTAAGCAGTAATTAGTATTTCTGAAAATAGTACTCCTGGAGCATACAACTACAAATTTCTGCATATGAATTGGAAGTTTTTTTTAAGCTATGAATGACTTCCAGGCTCGCTATTTGGGAAACTGTCCCTCTTCATGTCACAGACCAAAAGCCTGGCCCATCTTTTAACTAAGCTTTTGGGAGGACAGGGGATAGTTAAGAGAAATGATTATGTGGGATGTTACTGACTGCCTACGTTTTGTTCTAAGAAATCGTAAGGGGAAGGGTCCTGAAACAGATTTTAGGGTTCTTTTCTACATCTACACATGCGAGTGTGTGTTTGCTATAAGTTGTCAAGAACCAATGCAGGTAGAAAGAGATAAATTTGATATTTAGTTAAAATAGATGCTTGAAATTTTCACTTAAGAAACTTGTTTAAATATAGTTCCTTTTGGCTCTACTAATTACATTGCAGGCGATATTTACTACAAACACCTCATTTTTTATTTTACTTAAAATGTTGAAATTTCACAAAACAGGAAGCAAATTTATAGCAACCAAGATAACAAAGAATAAAAAGGACCATTTTCACAAATCACATGAAAAAAAAAGGCAAACAAACGTATCAGGGTGGAATTTTATAGAAGCCAGAGGTAATAAAAGTGAGTTGATATGAATATAAAAATTATATAGTTTTTTATTATTAAAAAAATGACAAGTGTCACTTAATGACAAGTACATCCTTCTATCACTGTTAAACTTCATTTTCAGGGAATATAAGGATAGTAAAATGTAAGCCCAACTTCATAACGTTAGAAGTTAGAAGTTGTTCATAATTAAACTCCCTAATTGAAGTGGAAGTACTCATAAGGTGACTCATATGTTGTACAAAACTGAACCATATCTTGTTCCTCACAAATAATTTGTTTAAAAGGATCCAAAGAGCTAAAGATAACATAGCAAAGCAAGTTACTTTACTAGTGACAGTCTTGTATATCCTCCACTCTGTCTCGGGAAAATAGGTCATCTGTAAGTAGGTCAGACAATCTACTTAGAGAAATGATTGCTTGCCTTTAGATAAACATATTTGTTTTCCCATTATCATCCCATCTTTAATATTTGATTTGGGAAAAAGAAAAAAAAAGAAGAAATAAACCAACAGTAGTTCTGATGTATTTTCAGAGCATACAGAAATATTTAGTTTGCAACTGTGTGAAAGCCGTTTTAGCTTTCTAAATCTCTGCAGGAAAGAGGGTGGGGGTAGGGAAGAAACTCTTGTAAACACGGCTTAATTCTGCAAAATCCTTATCGGACATGTCAAAAGACTACTGAATACTCAAAATACAATTTAGGAGAGGGCTTCAAGGCAAATTACAGTATTTTCTGTCATGTACATACACCAGAAACATATAGCTGATGAGTGCAACTTTCTCTAGCTACAGCATAACAAATTCAAGCAGGTCAGTCATATCACGCATATTTATCACAGCTTCTGATTTTACTGCTCAAGCAGGAGTACTTCTTTCTGATGACTTCTTTCCTCATCCTAAATTGCACTAATGTGTGTACATGCTAGTTCCCATCCAGCTTTCCCATAACAGATACTGATGTACTGATATTTGTGTGTGTGAAAGGGTGTGTATATGCTAGTTCCCGTCCAGCTTTCCCACAACAGATACTGATGTACTGACATTTGTGTGTGTGAAAGGGTGTGTATATTTTTTTTTCTTGAAGAGGAACTAAATCAGCATTGTATTAGGATACAGGCAGACATTATAGACTAAATGCTTCCACAGAGGACTTCTATTTAGAGACATCTGTGCTGTATCACCTAATCAATCTCAGTTCCCTTAAGAAAAGGATGGCAGCGACATTTAACATATCACCTAAAAATCATTTCCACTCCTGTGCCATGCGAGGAGACAGTCATGTTTCACAGCAATGCTGAATTCCATGGAAATATGAAATGTTTCAAGACCAAAGATACATAAGACAAAGATACATATTTCATTATAAAGCACCACACTGCAAAGGGCTTAGAATGTTTTTTCCCTGTTTTCATTTATTTCTCTAGTGTTTAGACACCAGAGCGGAAGTATTGCACTAGACAGCTAAGATTAAACCTAACCTAAGATTAAATTGCATTTTTAAGTGGGAAAGCTACTCTGACTGGCATTTGGTCATTGTTTTCTTTCACACTCAGACCACATTACTACAGGCACAGATACGGAGCAGTTTGTTTTACAAAGCACTTTTTAAAAACATGTTGCTTAAACAAAGGAAATAAATAATGTCTGGGAACAGGTTGTGTGCAGTTTGCCCTGATGTGCTCAGTTACACTTACTGAAGCTCTGCACAAGGGGATGGAAAAAGCAGCACAAACTTAAGGCATTTCAAGACTTTGGATTTCATTTCAGTGTGACCCAAACCAGGTACTTTGGTGAAATGGCAACATGGAAAAAAAGATCTCATATGAAAAGTTATGGCGGAAGATGACGAGTCATCTGCTGCCCTTACATGGCCTGTCATGACCTTCAGTAGGTGACACCCCTTAGCAGAAAGAGCACCCTGCGCTGTGAAGGATCTGCAAGCAAGGGGGGAAGAAAGAGAGAAATGGGCGGGGAGGGAGAAAAGAAACTTCACCAAGTAGGCACAGCCACCCCAGGCCCCTAAAAGGAAAATATTTCACAAGAGCTGTCAGTGCTGCCTTTCAGAGGCAAAATATTTTCAAGGTCACCCAGGGGGCAATTCCCTTGGTTCAGGATACCCTGAAGTGACAGTTCTGAGGCCTCCGTGCTGGATGGAAGGGAAAGCTGCAGCACACTCACCTCTTCAAAAGGGGGAAAAACACAATCCCCAAACCCTCTCCTTTCACTGTGTTCACAAAAGAGTTTTTTGCTTATTATTTTTGTTATTCTCTTTCCATTCACATACACATTAGAGTTCCTCAAAACCAGTCAAAAAGTGTGAGAAACTGGGGTAAGAGTGCTTTCAATGCCAAACCCTGGGGAACTTGAATGGGAACTGCAGACATTGCTGCTTGTTACAACAGAACTTTTAAAACAGTAGCCTCATGAAAGAGATTTACCAACTTACATGGCGCTTCCTAAGAAATTCTCACATGTTGACTGGCTCAAAGTGGTTAGTAGCCAAAGGAGACGTTAGGATTTGTGATCACATGGAAATGACATAAAGGTATGAGAAATGCACAGCACCTGTATCTGTCAAATCACTCTGCTCTAGTTTTTTTAGTACTCTTGTATTCTGCATAATTCAAAAAATGGATTAACAAGTGAGTATTTATAAGCAGGTTTTTAGAAAGAGGCTGTTATTTGGCCCAAGACATTGTCAGTAAGTATACTAGAAGTATGCTGAAAGCAGTTCAAATAAAACTACAGGGAACAGGGATAGACTTCAAAAAAAACTAATTCCTCCTCATATCGCTTTCATAGCACAAGGAAGGTCCTGGAAATGGGGAAAACTTCATGTTATAAGACTGTGAAACACCTTGTCTGAAAGGAATTGATGACCCAGCCACAAGTATCAGAGAATCCTTAACGTTGGAAGGGACCTCTAGAGATCATCTAGTCCAACCCCCCTGCACACGCAGGGTCACCTAGAGCACATGGCACAGGACTGCATCCAAGCGGGTTTGGAAGATCTCCAGAGAATGAGACTCTACAACCTCTCTGGGCAGCCTGTTCCAGGGCTCTGTCACTCTCACTATTAACAAATTTTTCCTTAAGTTCCTGTGGAACTTTTGATGCTTCAGTTTGCGGCCATTTCCTCTTGTCTTATCAGTGGCCACTACTGAAAAGAGGCCAGCTCCATCCTCCTCACTGCCTCCCTTGAGGTACTTATAGACACTGATCAGGTCTCCTCTCAGCCTTCTCTTCTCCAGGCTGAGCAGGCCCAGCTCCCTCAGCCTCTCCTCATAGGG